ACTCATTCAATCCGTAATCATCGAGTACTGACTTTGCCAGTTCGTCGTGTGTTGTTTTCTCATCTGCATGCAGAACAATACATCCTCTACTGTCGGGTGTGAATACATATCTGTTTTTCTTAATCCAGTTACCTGAAACAATGATTACTGGATCCATAAGAAATTAGAGAAAGAGAAGAAGGTGAAGAACAGATAGCGGAGTTTGTAACATAAACCCTAATTTCGTTGTTGTAGTTAGTAATGACATGAAAAATAAAAGCTGACATGGATGATGACATGGAAATCAGTTATTCAGCCACCAAACGAACATTTAAGTCAGCCACAATAAGTCAGCCACTTAATACATCGTAAGTCAGTCAAAACGTGAATACTATTTTAGTAATTAACTTTTTGTTAACAATCAGCCATAACAGAGATGAAACGCAAGAAGTCAGCTGTATCGTTAAATAAACCAGCCGGCAAATGAATGCTATTCTAGTAATTAATCTTTCTTTAAAAAGTCAGCCGTAAATCAGCTGAGTTTACTGTTACTCCACTTTATGACGGCTGATTAAATATAACTCAGCTGTAAAAACATCTCACAACTCGGCCGGTCGACGATCAATTAACCAGCCGTGATAGTTAACTAAGCCGTATGGTAACTAGAACTCAGTCGGATTTTCCAGGAACCAGCCTAAGGATGTATAAGTCAGTCGTAATATCTGACCGTAACTCAGCCGTTATCACATAAACCAGCTAGATTTTTTTAAGTCAGCCGTAACGATCGACTGAGTTATGTTCATAACTCAGCTTATTTCTCATAAGTCTGCTAGGTTAGTTAAGTCAGCCGCTACGCACCTATATCTCGTCCGTAACGTAGTTCGTATCCTATTGCGGCTGAGTTTTATGCCGCATTCTTACGTGGACCCGAAATTTTTGCTTACGTGGCATAAAAAAGTAATGGCATTCTTGTAAATATGTTTTTTCTCACAACGTGAAAAAATGGCACGCTGGGTATTAAAAAAAAGGTAGTAATAAAAAAAAGTTTTGTATGGTTGTGATAATAATTAATAAAATTCATATTAGTTGAGTTAACTTCCCTTGTAATAAGTTTAGCTTTGTAATCAAATAAACTATATATAAAACTACAACATATATTTTCCCATTTCCTATACCATATGTTATTCTGATAACATAAAATCTCTCTACATATTTGTTGTTATTGTCGCTTTCGCTTGGCTAACTTGTACACAATTAGTGCAATCTTCTTCTACACTTTTTTGAGTGAATGGATCATCATTTGTGAAGAGAATTAGGGAGTGTATTAAATCTAGAGTTTGAAGTCATTTGATTTGACATGAATTAGAAATTTTAAAATGATTTTTGTTAAATAAATCTAGAACCTCACCTAAAATCATGATATGTGAATTTTTTTTACTAAAAACTTTATTCAAACATTCTAAAATCTCTTAAGAACTTTAAAAAGTCATAACTTAAAATGTTTTCCAATACCAGTAGATTTAGACTACTGTGTGAAATGCCAAGTTGAATAGCCGTAGATTTAAAACAATTTTTAAAATTCATGTTTGTATAACAATAAATTTGTCGCGCTTATGCAAATCACCATAAATTCATCTAATACTGTTTAAACCACCTCAAATTTGAATAATAGATAGTCATTTGATATATAAAAAAAATAGATATGCATTGAATTAATACTAGTATATTTCAGCTGTAAATAATGCCAATTTGAAGTTCTTTTCCATTTATGTAATAAAAGAGGAAAATTCATAAGTCAAAAAATCTAAGATTCTCAAAGGGGGGGGGGGGGTCGTGGGAGATGAATTTAGGTATAACTGAGTTAAGAATGAGTTTTACTTATAAAATGTTATAATGAGTTTTAAGAATCAAGAGATTTGTTAAACTTATAAAATGCTATATTGAGTTTTTTCATATCTAAGAAGTCTATGAAACTATTCTACTACAATAATTTTGAAAATCTTGAGTATATATGCAATATTTTTGAAAGTGTTGTTTTATGAGTTAAAATGTTAAGAATCCAAATCTCAACAATAATAAATTTTGATAGAACTAAGAATCTTTAAAACCCAAACTTTTGAATAACGATAGATTCTATGTCATTAAGGAATCATCAACCCAAAAAAACTTGATTTTATAAGAATGCTAGAATCCACTAACCAATAACTATATATTTTTAAAAGTTCTAACAATCATTATAAATGTAGCTTCCACAAACATCCCCTTAACATTCCATATTTTGCATCTTGTGACAACCATATACAAAGACATAAGCACAAAACTTCAAGATACCTAAATAACTGAAATTGCAGCTAAACGAAAGCTCAAATGCTGTAGAACTGCGATTATGCACATAGGGTTGATTAGAACACCATGAGAAGCATTTGCATGCAAATCATTTTAGATTTTCAGACATTTCTCGAATGTAAATGTTGAAATTTTCACAAGAACTTAATTACCAAGCAGATCAGAATCATTTGTCACTGTATTAAGATTACAACCATGTCCATAATTCACAAGATAAACATCATTCCCAAAACTGATGGGCTCTTCACGGGATGTACTATAAATGGGTAGGTAGAAAATAAATAACAGCCTTAACTACTATAACATCCCAAATTGTCATTGTGCTTGGAAAAGTATCGATTGTTACATGGAAGGATTGTTAAAGAGTACTATCAGTCTAGGAAGGTTCTCAAGAGCTACGGTGAAGAGGCCACCAAGTATAAACATCAAAACAAATGCGAACATTATCCTCCCAATGTATTTCAGACTTTGATCTCCTTCAACTTCTGCTTTCATAGCTTTTGCAGGCTTTGAATATTTGGAACCCTGCAAAGCAAAGCCGAACAATGGTGACGCATAACTATACAATAACAATGCAATTTGGAAAATACAAGAAAATAGGCAATAAGATCTAAATGGTAGAAAACGAACTTAGAGAAGTAACTTATTAGTGAACAGAAGAAGCTTTTTCTGATTTACTGTCTTACAAGTCGATTTTAGTTTAGATTATCGTTGATTAGACAAATCAAAATGAATCTAAAGCTAGAAATCGAGCTTATATCAAATTAAACTGTCTTACAAGTGGTATTTGTTACACTTGACTTTCATCTACGTATAAACAGGATAGATGGGGAATAGACTTGTGGCTTTAGGTACTATGGTTGAGAGAGTTAAAAAGTAAACCCTTTAATCCTTTGTTCTTTGTACTCCGTTTGGTAAGAAGGATGATTCTCTATTCTAACAGAACAAAGACACGAAGTTTCTCTTCCCTAGAGACATTGAAATGCAATCTTCACTATGAAGTCAGCAAGATACATACCGTTGATAACCCAGAAGGAAACTGTCTCTGAAAAGTGCCCTCTTTCTCAGTTCCTGCATCAAGAATATATAAAACATGAGAAGCAATTTGTACACAAAGAGCAGACATGTTTCTCGAATCTCTAATTACCAGGCAAATGAGAATCATCAGTCACTGTCTTAAGCCTCCAACCATGTCCGTAACTGACAAGAGAAGCACCATCCCCGAAACTGATAGGCTCTTCACCTTCCTTCGCAGCTTCGATGTAAACTGCTTTGGATTTGGAGGAACCAAGTTTCCGATTGATGACGGAGACAGCAAACTCCGCCTTGGTCTCAGCTGTGAATCGGTAGTCTTTACCGGATATTTCACAAAACACCTCCACAAACTAGAATTTACGCAATCAGCAATGACATTTTTTTAGAATATAAGATAAAAAAAGGACACTTACCGGCGGGGGCGACAGTCCGGGGGATGTATCTTCCGCCATTGACAGATCCGGAAACCGAAAAGAGGACTAATCCGATCGGAAAAATTAAAATTACGAGAAGGTGAAGGAGAGAGCAATCATAAAATTTAGGTTGCTAAGTAAAAAGAATCGATCTCCAGGAAAAGAAAAAAATTCAATCTCGGGTTTGGGAAATTCTATGTGTGTGTTTGGGAGACGGATTAAATCAAATCTCGATGATAGAGTCAACTTCTTCTTTTTTTGATCAAGATAGAGTCAACTTAGATAACCGAATTCTATAAATCGAATTTGTATATCACTCTTTTTTTCTTTTAATTGTCAACTTTTGTGGATTCCCCACTTCCACTTACTTGTTTAAAAACATTTATATTAGTATTCCAAAATTCTAGGAATAAATATTTTGATAACATTTTCTAAATTTATAATAGATGTTACTCCATCTCATTTCTAAAAAATAATATAAAACTCTAAATATTAGAATGAGAAGTGCAAGCGTGGGAATATAAAACTGATAGGATATTTTATTTCTATATTTGAGATAGAAATGAATATATTATTAACAGAATCTATTTACAGTGAAATCTCTATAAATTAATAATGTTGGGATTACACCAAAATTTTATTATTAATCTAGAGAAATATTAATTTATCGATATACTAATCGAACCAAAAACTCAATTTAGAACTATAAAATTATATTATTTTATAGAGATATTTAGTGTATATTAATTAATCGAGTATTAATTTATAGAGATTCTACTATAAATCTTTTACGGCCAGTTCCGACTAAGCACAGCCGTGGTTCCTTGTCTCTCTAAGGTGGTCCGATTTTTACTCTACAAAACCTAAGGTACTTCAATCAATCCCTAGAACCTAAAACCTAAAACCCTAATAAGAAATCCAAATTTGGAAAATAGAATTGCTAGGTTGAATGGATTGTATAGGTTGATAGATTGGAACCATTAAATCTGTTTGATTGATTGTTTGATTGTTTATTTGAAGTTTTTCATAGAACCTAGAACCGGGTGCTTAGGATTGTTTAAAACCTAATTCATAAATCTGATTGATTGATTGCTGATTGTTGCTTGATGATTTGAGGTTTAAGTTGATAGATTTTATGTTTTAAATCTGAAACCCTAAAAGGGCTTGAAAACCCTAAATCATCTATTGCTAAATCTGATTGATAGTTTTATGAATTGTTTAGAGGTTTTAAGAAATCATTAGCTAAAGATGGTTTTAAACCCTAATCTGGAAACCCTAGAAACACTAGACGGATATTGCTAAACCCTAATTTTGTTAAAACCAACCTAATCTGGATTGTTTGTGCTTGCTTGCATTGTTAAACCCTAATCCTATTGATAGAATTGTTTAGGATTGTTAAACCCTAAATTGGCAAACCCTAAACCTAATAAATAGAATCCGATTTTGGTTATTGATTTCTAAAAGTTCTTTGCTTGCATATGATTGATTGAAACCGGATTGATTGCATCATATGTCATGGCCGTGTGGCCTTATCCCCGTATTACATATAGAACTCGGAACCCTAGGATTGTTTTGATCGCACCATGGTCGATATAGAATTGTTTGGTCGATATCCTTTTTTGGTTTCATGCACATACCTTGTTTAATTTTATGAAACCTTAAAATCTGATTGTGATTGATTCAGATGTCGAAAATATGCAATCTGGACTATGTTTCCCTTAATCTCTGGAGAGAATTATTTACAGGGGGCATTGGATACTAAGATTTGCATGAGGTCAAGAATAATGATGAGAATGACAAGAATAGATACCGGCAATAAGTATCATTCGTCACCATCTTGCAGAAGGTCTCAAAGATCAATATTTGACTATAAAGAATCCACTAGACCTTTGGACCGCCTTACAGCAGAGATATGATCACCAAAAAATGGTGCTATTACCAAATGCTAAATATGAGTGGAGAAATCTCAGATTCCAGGACTATAAGTCCGTAAATGAATATAATTCAGTCTTGTTTAAGATTGTCTAACAGATGAGACTATGTGATGAAGAAGTGACTGAGAACGATTTACTAGAAAATACATTCTCTACATTCCATTCTAGTAATGTGTTGCTGCAACAGCAATACAGAGAAAGAGGCTTCACCACATACACTGATCTTATCTCGTGCCTGCTCCTGGCCGAGACAAACAATGAGTTATTGATGAGGAATAGTGAGATGAGACCTCCTGGATCAGCCCCATTACCAGAAGCCAACAAGGCTGTACAAGAAAAGAAAGATTCCAAAGAAAGCAACCGCGTCTATGATAATAGACAATACGTTCGAGACCATGGTGGATGGAGAGGACGTGGTGGCCGAGGCAATTATGGCTCGTACGGCCGTGGACAAGGGAACCACAATAACCGTGGTCCTAGTTCCAGTCATGGCCGTGGACGAGGCGGTTACAGCCGCGGTCGAGGTGTCATCTCTAAGCCATCTTACTCGACCAAATCACTTTGCCACATATGTGGAATGGGGAATCATTGGGCCAAGACATGCAGAACTCCCAAATACTTATGTGATTTCTATCAAGAGAATCTGAAAGGCAAGAATCCTGAAGCCCGTATGGTCCAAGATGAGAATGGTGATTTCGACCAAGGCCATGATGGTCAAGATGATTATGAAACCTCAGATTGTTTAACAGACTAAAATTTCGACACCTTGTTTTGTTTTCTTTGATTTTATGTTTTCTTGTTTTTGAATTCTGTTACTATTATTGTTTGATGTTTTGATTTTAAGAATATGCAAGTTTTATTTATAAGTCTTTGAGATTATGATTATGATTATGATTATTTATAGAATGAAAGATGAGATGAGTATACTTGTGGTGGATAGTGCATCAAGCCACACAATTCTTAGAGACAAAAGATATTTCATCAATCTCACAATGGAGAATGCCAATATACAAACTATTGCGGGTACGGCCAGCCTTATTGAAGGCCACGGCCATGCTTATTTATTGATGCCTAATGGCACTCATCTAGAGATTTCTAATGCCTTATATTCACCCAGTTCCAAAAGGAACTTATTGAATGGAACTTATTGAGTTTCAAGGATATAAGATTAAACGGTTTCCACCTTGAAACAAAGGACGAAGGAAATAAAGAGTTCCTTATTATTACTGAAGTCGTCCAAGGCTACTGAAGTCGTCCAAGGCAATAAAAGAATCCTAGAAACCATACCTGCAATATCTATTGGTATATACTATGAAAAGATCAGTATGATTGAGGCTAATGCCTGTGAAAATTTCACTCTATGGCATAACCGGCTTAGCCATCCCGGTTCTAGCATGATGCGTAAAATGTTAATAAGTTCTCAAGGGCACAAAATAAAGAGAGTTATCCCAAAGAATCTCACATGTGTAGCATGTACACAAGGGAAACTCATAACTCGGCCTTCACCAGTAAAGGTCAATAAGGAAATCATAAATTTTCTGGAATGGATTCAGGGAGATATATATGGACCAACTCACAAGATCTCGTGCTGGGAAATTCTATATGTCTTCTTGAGGGACGGATTAATCCAAGTCTCCAAGATAGAGAGCCAACTTAGATAACCCAATTTGCACATTACTTTTTATCTTTTAATTGATTGTGGACATTTGTGGAGTCCGCGCTACTACTTGAGTTGTTTGAGTTTCTCTTTCTTAACTATGTTTAATTAATTTTTTGTCCATAGGGTCATAGTACAACAAAGACAGACTCAAAAACAAACAAGCCCAGTAAATTACAATATACTTATTAATCTATTTGCGCCTTACGCAGAATAATGAGCTTTGTATATAAAAATTAACTAGGTGGACGGCCCGCACGCCTGTGCGGACATTAATATAATCTATACATTGCATGAATAAAAAACAATGTAAATGTATAAATATATTGTAATTTTCTTTCTCTTTTACATAGATACTTTGTTTTTAATATATTTTTATATTTTACTCATTTCGTTTCTCCTTGTATTTTTTCACAAATTCTTTTTGTTTCTTATGTATCTCTCTTTGCATTATTTTTGTATGTCTTTGTACACCTCTCTCGCTCTCTCTTTCTTTCTCTCTCTCTCTCTCTTAGTTGATCAAATAATCTCAAGCCGAGACCATTAATAAAACTATCCTCGACGGTCTCAAGAAACGCCTCGACGCCAAAAAAGGAAAGTGGGCCGAAGAGCTCGAAGGAGTTTTATGGTCGCACCGCACAACCCTGAGGCGAGCGACGGACGAAACTCCTTTTGCCCTCGTATACGGAACAGAATGCATGATTCCCGCAGAAGTCGAATTTTCGGGGTACGCAGAAGGCTGCTCCCAGAAAGAGAAGAGTCAAACCACTTAACGCTTCTCGACGAACTCGATCTGATTAACGAACGACGGGATCAGGCACTGGTTCGAATTCAAAACTATCAGCAAGCGGCCGCAAAGTACTATAACGCAAACGTACGCGGCCGCAGATTTCATGAAGGCGAACTAGTCTTACGAAAACTCTTCCAAAACACCGCAGAACGAAATGCCGGTAAATTGGGAGAAAACTGGGAAGGACCATACAAGGTCATAAAGGTAGTCCGGCCTGGAGCATACGAAATCGAAAACATGCAGGGCATCAAAATTCTTAGATCCTGGAACGCGATGCATCTCAAAAAATACTATCACTAGGCAACGCGCCCGCAAAACACTTAACTACGAGACGGCTTGATCCCCTTAAAGGGTACGTAGGCATATTGTCGCAAAGCAAGACCAGCCGCCCCCCCCCCCCTCGTTAAAAAGGGGTAGTAGGTGAGTGTACGTATTTTCGTATACTCCCAAAATTTCAAAACTCGAAATTTCTCGAACTTTTTCTTCAACCAATGTATCAAAAGAAAAAATGACATTCTGAATATAGCGAGACGTAGCCGATGTTCGGAAAACCGTTCCTCTCCAAAAATAACAAACAGTCCACCCGCGACTATAAAACACACACAACTTCTTAATATACAATCCCTTCGCGAAGGTCTAAACTACGAAAACATCTATCACTTAAAAATAGTTTGTTGCTGATCACAACAAACTCGCAACAGTCCTAAACAAACTTAAGTTATCTCGCAGAGATAGCTCTCGAACACCCGACACAAGGGTAATAGCGCTATAAAAGAAATCCAAACTTTTGGTCAGCACTGCCGGGCAACTTAGAAATTGTTCCCGGTGAGATGCTCGGTTCCAACCAGACGAATCGTATAAGCCGAGAACATATCGCGGATTCTAAATCGGTATGGAATCAGGTTAAAATCGCAACAGGCAAAACGAAAGCCGACTAGTCAT